ACCCCCCCTGAATTTCCCCACCCCCCCCCAGTTTTGTGAACTATGGTGCCATACAGCCCACCTTCACCCTCACGGTCTCACCCCTCATCAGCCCGGACACCCCCCCTCCGTAAATTCAACCCCCCCCATTTCAATTCCTGGGGAGGCTACTGCTCCTGGGTTTGTCAGCGCTGCATTGTAAATCCAGGTCTAGCAGCCACAGTGCGCTGCTAACTGTGCTTACAAGTGGTTGGATCCGGGGGTCACGACCGTGCTACTGCATCCGTGCGGCTCCACGCAGGCCGCCCAAGTTGGGTCTGCGGCTTTAGCTGCAGCGCTGCTACCAAATGATGGGGTTCGGGCCCAAGCCACAGCAGGACTTGGGCTCTCGCCCACCCAACTAGCAGGGTCCCAGAAGGATCCAGGCCCCGAGTGCTGGAGTCAGAATGATTTGTGTGCAGATGGCAGGGGGACTTTACACTCAAACCTGGGCTTAGTCAGGCCCACCAATGAGGGGGAAGGGAGGGGAGTAATCCCCACCAGGGGCTTGGCAATTTTAAAGAGCCTGAAGCTCCATCTGCCGCCACCACTATTTCATATGTACTGAGGCCAGGCCCCTTCCAGGATTGCAAAGCCGCCCCCCCCCCCCGCCCCACTTTACCCAGGGGCCTGGCCCCGCTGTCGGCTCCCCTGTTAGTGGCATAGTGTAGACATACTCTCTATAACTGCAGGAATCACACCCCCCGCAGCTGAAATGCAGCCATCTCTGGCATGGAATAGCACCGCTGTACACGGTACAGCTGACAAAAGAAAAACACCCTGCCCTGCTGTGCTACCCTGCATATGTTCTGTTGAGATATCCATGGCAGAAATGCAGTAGTGCAGCACAAATAGAGCGAGCTGTGAAGCAGTTAATACCGCCTTTATTGGAGGGAAGGGAGATCTATTTTCTCTATTCATTTCCCACATTTCTCTTCCAATAATCTTGCATTACTGTGACCTATTATGATCTATTATTGGCATTGCAATGGCACTAAGAGCTTCAGCCAGGGAGCAAATCTCCATGGTGCTAGGTGCTGTTGGAACCCAGAAGAAAAAGATGGTCCCTGCCCTAAAAAGTTTCCACTATGGCTACATCTACACTGGCATGATTTTGCGCAAAAACTCTTCCAGAAGAGAGCGTCTACACTGGCATGTGCTTTTGCGCAAGAGCATCCATGCCAGTGTAGACACTCTCTTGCGCAAGAAAGCTCTGATGGCGATTTTAACCATAGGGCTTTCTTGCGCAAGAAATTCATGTTGCCTGTCTACACTGGCCTCTTGCGCAAGAACAGTTGCAAAAGAGGGCTTCTTCCTGAGCGGGAGCATCATAGTTCTCACGCCAGAAGCCCTGATTTCATATATTAGAACGTCAGTGCTCTTGCACAAGAACTCAAGGACACTGTACACAGGCAGCAAGTTTTTGCACAAAAGCAGCCGCTTTTGCACAAGATCGCAGCAATGTAGACACAGCCTATAAGTAGGCTGAGGGAAGAGAACCCAGGTAAATACAGTGATACAGGGAAGCACAAGGGAACAAGGAGAGAAGATCACAATGGTCAGACCCTACCCACCAACACCAAACATCTAGGCTATGTCTACACTCGCAGCTTCTTGCACAAGAAATATGCAAATGAGGCTTAGCGTGGAAAATCACCGAGCCTCTTTTGCATACCTAATGAACCGACATTTTTTAAGAAAAGTCTCTTGTGCCAGAAGGAGCTGTCTACACTGCTGCTTCTTGCACAAGAAAAACCCTCTTGTGCAATGCTGCTACGCCGATTATTTTCAGGAATAACTGCATTGCACAAGAGGGTTTTTCTTGTGCAAGAAGCAGCAGTGTAGACAGCTCCTTCTGGCACAAGAGACTTTTCTTAAAAAATGTCGGTTCATTAGGTATGCAAAAGAGGCTCGGTGATTTTCCACGCTAAGCCTCATTTGCATATTTCTTGTGCAAGGCTCATTTGTATATTTCTCGTGCAAGAAGCCGCGAGTGTAGACATAGCCCTATAGTATGGTTTCTCTATGGGTGGGCGAGGACTATTCTGTTCAGCTTCATGCACTGGCAATACCATTTTGTTTACACACAGAAGTGGACCCGTTGTAACCAAACCTGATGCAAACTAAACTGCTATTCGTGAGCTGTAAACTGACTCAAGTGTCCCCCCATGGGATTTGCATTGCTTTAGCCAAATAGTTTAAAATTATAGTCAAATGGGTGCAACATAATTATGTTTGCTCTGTTACATAGACGTTTTCATACCACATTCATCATCACCCTAGTATCTGAGTGTTTTCCCTTAGTGCACTAAGCACCATGTGTAGGTAAAACCTAAGTTCCAGTTGCAGGAACTTGGGCCCAGAGCCTCAAAGGTCACTGAAAAGATCTGGACGACCTTGAAAACCAGGCTAATAGAAGTGAAATGAAATTTAATAGTGCAAAGGGCAAAGAAACTAACTAACACTAACGATTTTTTGCTACAAGCTGGGGACTTATCAGGTGGAAGTGACAAAGGCAGAGCACCACCTAGATGTTTTGGTTGATCATAGGATGACTATGAGCTGCCAATGAGAGGTGCCTGTGAAAAATGCAAATGCAGTCCTTGGCTGCATCAAGCGAGGAGGTAATTCCAGTAGGGACAGGGAAGTGTGTATGCCATTATTCAAGACACTAGTGAGAACTCAACTGGAATCGTGTGCACAATTCTGGTCTCCTATGTTGGAGAAAGATAAATTCAGTCTGGAACAGGTGCAGAGAAGGGTTATGTGGATGGTCAGAGGAACAGAAAAACTAGTTTAGGAGACTTAAAGAGCTTGGCTAGTTTAGCCTAATCAAATGAGGGCTGGGGGGGGAGGGAATGAGACATTTGCTCCTTCGGGAGGATAAACACCCTGGAGAGAAAGGAGTTATTGAATTTAAGACCCAAGTTGACACAAGAACAAATGGATATAAATTAGCCATCAACAAGTTGAGGCTTGAAATTAGACAACGGTTTTTAACCATCAGAGTTCTAAAGTTTTGGAACAACAGGAGTAAATAACCCTAACTGGCTTCAAGACCGAGCTTGGTAAGTTTACAGAGGGATGGGTGAGGCGGCAGCCTACAATGCCACATGGCCGATTTGTGACTAGTATCTCCAACCGCCATCAATGGGGCACTAGGTGGGGAGGGCTCTGGGTTAGTACAGAGAATTCTTTGTACCGGGATATGCAGCTGGTGGGTCTTGCTCATGTGCTCAGGGTAAGGAAGGAATTTAGCCATGGGTCAGATTGGCAGAGACGGTGGTGGGTTTTGTTTTGGGGTTTTTTGCCTTCTTCAGCATGGTGCACAAGTTACTTGCAGGTTTAAACTAGTGTAAATGGTGGATCCTATGAATCATGATCTGAGGTCTCAGCCAAAGCTTAGGGGGTCTGTTACAAGAGTAGATGGGTGAGGTTCTGTGGCCTGCACTGAACATGGATGGTCCCATCTGGCCTTAACAGCCAAGAAAGATAGATTGATCTAGCCCAGTGGTCACCAATCAGTAGACTGGGATCTACTGGTAGATTTTGGAGCCTCTGACAGGGGATCCTAACTGCTTTGGTCAAGAGATTATCAGGCCCAGCCCTTCAGCTGCCCTTCCCCCCAACTACTGCACATTTGCCCTTTGCCTTGGAGCAGTCCCTGCAGGAGCCTCTGCTCCAGGTACAGGGCAGGAGAGGGAGAGGAGGGGGCACAGTCATGGTGCCCTCTCTCCTACTCTATATCCTACCTCCACAGAGCACAGCAGGACTTGGGATGGAGTTTGCTGGCTGCTTTTGGGAGTGGTGCAGGGCCAGGACAGGGGTGAGCCTGCCTTAGCCCCACTGCATCACCAACCAGAAGCCACCTGAGGGACACAGGGCCCAGCTGGTGCCCACATCCCAAAACCCTACCCCGGTCATGAACATCCTCCTGCACCCCAAGCCCCTGCCCTAGCCCCCCTGCATCCAAATGTCCTCCCAGAGCCTGCACCTTGAACTCCCTGCCCCACACGCCGAATCCTTTAACCAAGATCAGAGCCAGCATCCCCACCCTCTACCCCAAAGTGAGGGAGGGTGGGAGAGGAATGATGGAGTGAGCACAGGTGGGGCCTCGGAGAAGGGGCACAAAGGAGGCAGGGCCAAGGTATTTGGATTTGAGGTAGATCTTGGATTGCACTTAAATTCAAAAAGTGATCTTGTGCTTAAAAAATAACGCACTAAATATGATAATCTAAAGAACCACACACCTCAAAACAGATTGTATGCCCTTCAATTGACTAACACTGGCCACCCAAATCCTAAGATTTTACATTGTATTTAGTGCCAGTGAAAGATGCCAGCTTGATCAGATTAGTGGGTAGGGCCCAGCAAGTGACAAGCCTACCCTTCAGTGGAAAAATGGGACATAGGACTTAACCAAATATGGTGGAGCTGACAGCCTGGGAGATTTGCCCATTCTCAGGTGGTCCTGAGGACCTCAAGTTTCCTGCCCTCCTCCACTGAACTTCAGCCCTGGAGAACATATTCAATCCGCATGGTCTCTGATTTGCCCACAGGAGCCGTGGTCATTGGTGGTTTTGAAAGACACAATGCCCTAGGTGCTGCTTGTTAATACCATATGTAATAGTTTCTCTTTCAGGCACCTTTTGTGGTGTAGACAGCAAGAGACAATAGCTGTTAAAGCCCCTTAACTCTGAGCCACCAAAGTCTCTCTTCCTCCCTCCCATAAGGGATTTAGCTCTTCATCAGTGGCATGGTTTCAAGTCATGGATGTGAGTTAATGGACACATGAGAAACGAATAGCACAGTGAGATGCTGCAGTGGACCAGCAGATGAGGAAGGATTTCAAGATAAGGGATGAGATACTGGATTTCTGAAGGAGGGCTGCTGGGATCAGCTGTCCCCACTGTAGAAATGGCTAACAAAGTACCCCCTCTCCCAGCTCCAAGCTAGTGAGTCACAGCAGATACAGACACAAGGGACTGAACAGGAATGGCGTGTTTTATTGTTGAAGCAAATAGCAGAGAAGGTATAGTATATACTTAAATTAAGTGTCAGTGTCTCCAAACAAGAGGGAGCACAGACAAGAGGGGCCCATGCCCCACAGTCTTGTCCCTTCCCTCCTACCCACTGACTTCAGACAAACTAATTCTCAATACTTGGGCTGTGTCCAGGCCCAGTCTCAGGCAGAGGAGATGCAGCAGTCATCCTGTTAGGCTGTTGCCATACTGCAGTTGAAGGCTCACGGTTCCTCAATCTCCTCTTACTCCTGGGCTGCATCGGGAGCTCCAGTTGATCTGCTTTGATCATCACCCTTTTTCTTATGCCCTGAAACAATGTCATCAATACGGAGAAGGAGGACAGCAGTCTGGGGAGAAAAATCCAGGGCAGGGTCAGGAAGAGAGGTACTGCACTTTGGGCACCTTGCTGAACTAGACAGCTTTTGCTCAGGACTTGCACACACCGCTTTCCCACCAATGTAACTCACCTGATTTTTAAACCAATTTGAAGTGGTGCTTAGATCACGCCTCACTCCCGGAGGGGACCCCAGTGAGTGCTGCTCTGAATGACTAAAGCCAGCTTTTAAATCTCAGCAGCAGCTTTGCTTTCCACTCTTGGTGGCTTGTATATTTGTACCACAGAAGAACAAAAGCTAACCCAAGCACACACACTTCATCCTGTGGAGTCCCAAAGTTCTTCACACCTTAATACAATGCAGCCACCTCTGCAGTGGAACATGGGAGCTGCTTTAACAGAGCATGGCAACATGGCATGGTGGGAAGTATTGAAAATACTGAATCTTGGCGTAGAAACTAGGCGGTAGGGATGTAAAATACTGTTTTATTGACCTAGCCAGATATGTTTAACCAGTTAACAGATTAAGGAGGGCGAGGGGGTGGAAGTTCCCACTTCAGCTGGTAGCCCCCGCACCAGGCTAGAATGCCCCCCCCCCACGTCCAGCAGGGGCTGCTCCAGCCAGGATGCTGGAGCAGCCTTGGTCCGCAGTGGGCCCCTGTGGAAATGGAGCAGGCCAAACAGTTAACCTCTCACATCTAGGAGGAAGGCATTTAGACACACTGGAACTTAGCAGGGAGACCAAGCTGACAGCAAAAATATTTAAAATTTTCTGGTGATGTGCAGGAATGGAGAGGGCATCTGGCTTAACCTACCACCAGCTGACCACGCTGCAGTACACCGTCCCCACAGTGCCACCAAATGGATTCCAGGTGTATCTACATCTCTAACTGGGATTTCTCCAACTCTTTCTATCGCCAGCAGTGGATACTCAGCCATAGATAGCAGGGAGTACAATACCTTAAAATATGGAGTACATACCTTAAAATATGGAGACACCCTGGCATTTTCTTCCCTTCCTGCACATGATTTCCTGCGCTAGACACCGAAGCACAGAGGATCAACTACACACACTCACTTTTCAGTTGCTTCCTTACCTCCACAGCTGTCTTGTAGGTCTGTAATTTGACAGCTAAAGGTTCCCAGATTCCCAAGTCTTTCATGTCCACTAAGGCTCCAGTCTCACCATTTACGCCCCAGGTCTGACTGCCTTCTTGAGTGTGTTTCGCCTATAATAAATTAGTAACAAGATTTCAAACCAACCCATCTTTCTGAAAAAAATATGAAAGATTGATCCAGTCAGTCTTCTATGCAAATAGCAAGGATTCATTAAAATTAAGTATAGACTTTGTAGGTATGAAAAGGACTTTAGACCCAAGTGCACAGACAGAAGTCATCAATTAAAACCAAAATTTACTCACCAATTTTATTAATAAGACCTGAGACCAAGTATAAAAAAAGATAAATTAGATCTAAATATTCTATGCTAATTTACTTGCAGGTTGTTATGTGACGGTACAAACATTGCACAGGAATGCAAAATAGCCTTCCATTGATTTTACAAAGGTATCTGGAGATAGTGTCTGTATGTATTAGGTTTGGTAAAAATCTATTGAAATCTAAATCTAGGTTCCCAATAATCTGACATGCAGGTCTGCCAATGGGGGAAAGGTGTGTGTGTGGGGGGGAGGGGCGGGGGGCCCTCACACCGTGCCATCTGACTGAGGCCCCACCTCTTCTGGGATCGCAGAACTATCCCCGCCACATTGACCAGGGCCCATGCAGGCCGTCAGCTCCCCTGCTTACACGCTACCACTATCAAATAATCTGTCATGCTATTTCTACTCACACAGCTAGCTAGGATTTCCCATCTGAAAATATATTTTATATCTGCAAAAAGGGAGTCGACAGGAAGCAGCTCTTTGGAGAAGTTTTTTCTGCTACTTGTCTCATGGATTATATCCTTACTCTTAGTGAGGTCAGCACACGGATAGTGCTGGCTCCGCAGTTTTGAATCAGTGTTCTGGGAATGACTTCCAGAGCCTGGGCAGCTGCACGGTAGGGCCACTGCTCCACTCCGGTCATGACTTTAGACTTTTCTGTCAAAGTGTGAGAAACAGCCATCTCTGTAGCGCCCCCTCCTGGCACCAGCTGAGGATCTACCAGGACATTACGACACACCTGCATGGCATCCTGGAGGTTGCGTTCCACCTCCTACAAAAAAGAAAAAAGGCAAAAAGTGATGATAGATGTGAAGGTTGTACTTTCAATAAGCCAACAAGCTCTACAAGCAAGAGCAACAGCACCACAGCAGAGGCTACAGAGCACAGCCAGGACCATAAAATAAAGCCACTAGTAAAATGTGCACCAATATGACATGATTACTGTTTACAGGAACACTTAATATTGCTGCAAGTTCTCATCCAAGACAGCAGGGTTTACCGGTTTAAAACTGGGATTAGGCACCAAAAGATCTGTGTTCTACTTCCAAATCTCGGGGTCACCAAGTTAGTTCACGGTGTCTTAGATAAATCAGGAGACAATTATGCACCCCTTTTTACTTATCTTTGCCAGATTTGGGGTCAGGAATTTTTACCCAGCTAAGACTGGCATGAACCTCAGGGGGCAGAGGTGGCTTCTTCCTTCACCGCATAGGGAGTGGTTGGGATTATCCAGGCATACTTCACCAATGCAAGTCACTGCTACTGCACTGGCATTGGTGGCAACTTGTTCTCTTCTTGAGCACCGAAATGCTTTAATCTTACAGTTTTGGGTTCAATATTGGGTGAAATTCAATGGCTTGTGATAAGCGAGACTAGAGAATGTAAATCAGTGAGGGGCAACCTAAACTAGTGAGTGGGCTGCATGAGTGGCCCTCCTCCATCTCAGTGGACCACAAGTATGTCATAACCAAGTCTCCCAGGCTAGGGTAGTTTGCTAACTGCGCTTGGGTACCTAGAATGGTGTGAGGGGGTGCCAAATGAACCATAGCAGCTCTTTGACACTGTGCATCCAATCAATGTTGTATGCAAATCACCATGCATCTCATTTCACATGCCCTGGCTTTACATGCATGTCATTTTAGTAATACTGGTAGAAAAAAAACTACACAGATGAAAACCAAAAGAATCCGACAACACTACGGCTTGGGCAATAGTAAACCAAATGTCTCGCAGGACACACAGAATCCCAATAGGCCAACCATTGATCTAAATGGTTCCTTCTGGCCTTAAAACCTATTCAATTATTTTTACGTAAGAGTAGATTTGAAAAGTATTATGTTGATAAAGCTAACATTAGTGATATTTAAAAAGCCACACAGATGTCCACTGGTCAATTATTTATTCGGTGGAATACAGACTTTTCTCTCTTTCTATGCAGTATTTAAGGCTGGATCCGTTGGACCATCAATTCTGTTTTTCCACACCATTTCACAATTCAGAGACATTTGCTAGCAGTAAAACTTGTCACACAAGATGGCTCTGCATGGCAGTGCAATGCTGCTGGCAATGATAAAGATGCCACTATGATGGAATTAGCGAGCTTTTCTGATAGTGCTTATGCTGCCTCTTATTGCCCAGGGTACAATTTGTACATCAAACAAATCTCCTCCTGGCATCAAGGGAAGGTATATCTTGTAGCAGCAGCTGACTTGGGGATGCCTGGGGTTCTTAAGTTGAATCTGTATGTAAGTGGGAACTGGCATCCAGATTCAGCCTGTTGAAACTGATCAGCGGCTGATTCCAGGAAGCCCGGGGCAGAGCAACTCTGCCTCGGGCTTCCTGTAGTCAGCCCCGGACGCCAGTTCCCACTTACATACAGATTCAACTTAAGAACAAACCTACAGTCCCTATCTTGTACGTAACCCGGGGACTGCCTGTAATTGGTACTGGTCACAAGTTGAAAGCACATTCTAAAAGAATGGCACCACCAGCTCATAAAAAAAAAAAAGACCTTAATATCCACACGCCTCACAGATACCAACCTAGGTTCAGGAAAGGGTTTAAACTGACAGCATGATGGATAGAAATGATTAAATCGAACCACAAGGTGCAGGTTTAACTACAGGGTGATGAGTGGTACCTAAGTAGCATCAGAGGGTGATAACCAGACACATCAGGAGTGATGTGAAACTTGTTTGTACCCGTATATAAAGTGGTGTCTTGGAGGGGCAGTAGGATCTCCCACTGAGTTGTGTCCATTGTTATGTGTACCTATGCTTAGTGGTTTGGTAGAGTCTACTGACAACTGTACTTCGCTTAATAAATGTGACCGAGCCCGCCTTTGATCCTTATCTCATTTATGGTCTTTGGGGGCTTTGAGTCTGCTGTGTTGACTAATTGATCAGACACGCACACAGCCAAGCAGTTATCATGACTGACTGAGCAGTAGACCTGTCAGGATGCCATGCCAATAAATCCTGACTACTACACATCCTATTGTAACTTACTGCTAGGATTTCCTTGCTGGCTCCACGCAGAATGATAGTGCAGGCCTTGGGGTCTTTGCAATCTGTGATGAAGGTGAAATACTCATCTCCTATTTTCTTAACTTCAAAAAGCCTTGCTCCAGTCCCCACATCCTCGTCACGCAGCTCGTCTGTGCGACTCACAATGCGAGCACCACAGGCCCTGCCACACAGGAACAAAACAGAAACCTTTGTTGTGGTTCAGCTGGCAGTCAAGCAGAGAGGTCCCATACGATCTACGGCCCACTCTGGTGAGTGCTATACAAATGAGTAGCACAGAGACTGTCCATGTACCTAATTGCCCAAACTAGCACGTAAGGTGAAGTGCAACAAGTGAGAGTGGTGGGGTGGGAGAGAGAACAAAGTAACAATAAAAGCAACTGTACCGTGCACGTGTGTAGATACTACTCAATATGTGTAAGGTCTGGGCAACCTGGCTTAACAATTAAGGTCTGTTCACCTTGCAATTCTGTTGTTGTCTGTCTTCCTCACCCTGCGAATAGCTGTAATGTTCGCTCTCATCAGGTAGTGCTGGGCCAAATCTGAAACCAAGTTTGCACAGAAGTTATTTTATTTCGAAGAGCCATCACAAAGACTGAGTTTCCACAGTTGCTGTTACACAGGTTTGTTTTAAGATTTATCACCACTCTGGAAACCTACACCAGGAAAGATTATGGAAAGAAAAGATGACAGTGCTCACCACACTGGCAAAGAAAATATTCTAGAGCTGTCTGGGTACAATTATATTAGACATTCCAGAACCAGCTCCTCTATATTCTGCTGGGCTTTTGTTCCCAATAATATTGAATACATTACAAACCACACCTCTGTGACATAGTAGACTCACATACAATATAACAAAGCAAACAGAGTGAATACAATCCCCACTGTCTTGTCGTAACTGTGTGTGCGCCTCAGGAGGGGGAAGTCTGGCCACGATTCACTGAGGAAGTACGTTCAGCTTGTCACATATCCAATAGCTCCGGCTGTCTTGTGACCTGAGCCTAGTGAGATTCAGGCAGGTTACAGCTTTGCCTCAGGAAGCTGGACAAAAGGAGGCGGCGGGGAGGCCTGCAGGAGAAGATCGGTTGCTGGGTGTGTGGGTAAGTGAACCTGGCTTAAAATGCAAGGAGGGGGCTTGGAACAGGGGCCAGGGACCCTTCTCCCCAAGATGGATAGTACTGACTTCCTGGTTCCTGTGTTAATAACAAGTCTGTGCTATGTTGTATCCATATCAACAAATAAACCTTCTGTTTTACTTGCTGGCTGAGAGTCACATCTGGCTGCGGATGGGGGTGCAAGGCCCAGTGACTTCCCCATACTTGATGACAGCCTCAAACCCTGGGAAAAAGCTGGACATCCATAGAAGTTCACTGGAATCATAGGGGTCAGCCACCAGCTTAAAATCAATCATACAGACTCTGCATTCTACCGGATAAGTATAGTAAACAATGGCAACTAGTGGAATCGCAAACTTCCTAGCAAGCATGTGTGCGGAGAGAGGGGATGGACAGCAGTTACCTTAAGCAAGCTATATATCCAGAAAAATTAACAAGTTGGAGATTTATCTTTTATCCTCTCACCCTGGCCCTCTACAGAATCTTTAGCTCTACATGTATCTAAGCACCTGTGTTAATATTTGCTTTCTGAAAGACAATATTCAGAACCTGTTACCACTCTCAACATGATCTTTTAGTGTTAACAAGTGAGAAACAACTACAGTTATATTAGTCTGCCATTACACTTAATTATTTATATCAGCATTTCCCAAATTGTGGGTTGAGACCCCCTGGGGGCTCGTGAGCAACTTACAAGGGGGTCGTAGCTGGATCAGTTTTTTTTCTTGTATTTATGTCTCCCCGGCATTTCCAGACAGTCCGGTCAATTTTCCCCTGCCGCATCTCGTGGGGGCGAGGGAGTGAGGAGCGCCACAGAGTTTAGTGAAGAGGGGGCAATTGCCGGGCACCACGCTAGGGGGGCACCAGGCTGGGTGGGAGCGGAACGCAGCTGCTCTGGCCCACATGACCAGCAGAGACCAGAGGCTGGCCACGTGATGCCTCCCCTACAAGCTGCGAGCTGAGGCAGCTGGGCTGAGCAGCAGAAGATGCCACTTTTAAAGATTTG